CAGATTTTGAACGCCGTAGAAATTTCCATTGCTTGGAGTCAATGTTATCCACCCTTCACATATAATTTGGTGCGTTTTTTATTCCATTCACACAAACGACCTCAAGTTAAACAAGCATAAATTCTTGGACGTACAGGCTCACCACCTTGTTCCTACGGCACCAATCGAGAGTTCATATCCACGTTCCTCGGAGGTGCAGGTCATCCCGGAGAATTTCCATAGGCGAGTTATAGGATAAATTTTATTACAAAAAATAAATCATCTATGACTTAATTAATAATTTGGCCAATCTAATGAATAATGGTTTTTTATTGTTCAAAATAACACATTTATAATAAGAAGGTAAGTTTCCTTGTATATAAAATCGTATGATAAGACAAAATATATATCCTGTTTCAACAAAAGATCAAATAGCAACAAATGCTTGATTGTGGATTTTCGAAACTTAAACATGTAAGTGCCTCACTATACTTTAGCGGACTTGGAATTGATATGTTTAACCTCAAACAAGTTTAAAAGCCTTTTACATTAACCGCTATACAGAGTGAGCTGCTCTCGCCTGCAAGCACTTTGCATTTAACGGCAGAGCCTTCAAATTGTCTGCGTCTGCGTATGTTCAAGTTTTGCTGCATCCATAGAGCTAGCTAGTTCCATGTTGATAATAAAGTAAGTGTAGAAGTGTTGAAAGAACTATATAAAACAAATGATAATATCTTCATGCATTTTTAATCAATATAATTTGTTTCATAGGTGGGAAGATCACACACACATATATATAAGAGTAGAAAAGATTATACTCTATACAATTATAAGGTCATATGAAGCCCAAAAGCCAAGGAAAGAGAGTGTGTGGTTATAATACATATTCGAAGGCAAGAACCAGCGGGAACTGGGATTGCATTGGAGAAATCAGCGGAGCACCCGTGCCTCCTTGGAAAGCATACCTCTACGTGAATATTGCCATTGCCAATACCCAGCCATCATCATCTCCTCTCTCTCTCTCTCTCTGGTTGCACCTTTATCCATGCATTTTAGCAGCAAAAAAAAAAAAAAACTCCTCTCTCACTCTAAAGAAATTCCAGTACTAGGAGTGAGAGATTTCCAAGAAAAGTAAGCTTTATTTTTAAGATAACAAGGGTCCACCTCCATAATGCTTTCTTTTACTTCCATGCCTTGTCTTCTCTATTCGTTAGCACTTTCTGCTCTACCTTTTCTTTTTCTCACTTTGCATGGGTTTATTTTAGTGGTCTTGCACTATGCTGCCATAGATTGAATTTTCCATTTGGCTACACCAATTTCATCAAGTTTTATGGTATTATATCACTGGATTTTAACGATAACATTTAAGTACAAGTTACAGGCATCTCTCATATTGTCGAATAATAATAAGGTGCTGGCTGTAAATAATTTTTTTCTCTCCAAAAAATGAGATGCGAAGACATTAATGGGTGATTAAATATTACTTTCTAAAAAAAGGTATTGTAAAATATTAATATTATTAAAAAATGCGTGGTTAAATATTAATTCGAAATCTAAGAAATGATTAAGAGAACAGCCACTGGTGTAAGAACTGGTGTAAGAATTAGTAATTTTAGATGCTCAGGAAATGTCAGTCTTTGGGATACACTTCGATACATGCTATAAGAACCCAAAAGTCAAAGTCAAGATTGTAGAAGGGGATGTTAATTTGGCCACATTTGTATATATAATTCTAGTTAGCATTAAAATAGTGAAGGCCTCATGCGTGTCTGTGACTGTCTAAAATATTAGAATCCTCTCACAAGCTAGCTAACAAGCCCTAGGAATGCTCATTCTCGTCTCTTTCTTGGGATTTTTATACATTATTCATCGATCCTTCATTGGCCTCAAAACCCCATGTAGGGTTCTGTTTGGGATTCAAACCATTTTTAACCCTGGACCTTGCTACATATCACCTGATAACTGGCCTTAAAGGACCTAGCTAGCTCTGGTTGACACAAAAATAAATAAATAAATACTGTCAGTATTGTTGTTTAAAATTAAGAGATATCAAAACTCAAAGCTATTTCTTGAAGTTGTCTTGTCTTGGATTTAAGTGTTTATTATTGCTACCCTGTGGCCCAGCCTAAGTTGATCTTCCCTTGAGTCTGTGGAGCGTGTTAATGCATGAACATCTACACCTATGGGTGCGCACTGTTGCTCGTGATTTGCGCAGAGCTTCTTCCACGTTTATGTACATATTTGCTCTGTTATCTTTGCACCCTTTCTGCACCTTCAGCAACTATGATTTCCAGGGCCTAAAATATATTTTTGGTGTGGCTAATTGCATATGCATCGAGCGATAACCACCTTTTTCTTTCCCCTAGCGTCTTTAATTTTGAGTACTTACTAGCTACGACAAGATATTTACACATATAATCTTAACCATCGAGCACCATATATATATATATATATAATCAATCTACTATTTTGTTGTTTATTGGCTCCAAACTGTTAATTAAGCAAATACGGCAATATTATTCAACTTTACAAAGCATTCCATAGCTGGTGCAATTAAGTCCTTTCATCACTTGGAAATATGACAGTTTCGTTAATTATTCAAAAACTATGATGACCTAGAAGTGATGAATTTATAACTAGGTATGGATGGACCATGACACTTCTGAAAAGAAGAACTAAACCTAGAAAATATTCCCTCTCCCACTTTGGTGAACGTTTATTTGCAGTGTGAAATGGTTGTTGGGCCAACTACTGCAGGTAGTTAGTCATGGATAGAGAGCTGGTCTTTATCTTGAAATAAGCCCATTAGTGAGTTAGGCCCGCTTCCAACTACACACCACAACGATGCTGATATCACGCCACTCTATCCTGGAGTGAAGTCCAAAATACATATCCCATAATAAATACCGAAGTACATATCCCTCCCTGTTTCTAAGACGGATTATTTGATGAAAATTAATTTTTTAAAAAAATAAATTTCATTAAATATAATTTTTTTAAAAATAAATTATTTTTTTATATTTGATATTATCATAGTAAATGAGTTGGAAAATATTTTATAATGCTTGATTATACCATAAAAAATGAGTTGAAATATTAATGTTTTAAAGTTTATTAAAAAAATAAAAACAAAATTTAACATATTATAATATTTAAGGAAGATGCAATTGAAAAAAGAAATTTTAATTTTATAAATTATTTTAAATAAATATAAATAGCAATTAGAAGAATATAAATCAAATTTGACAGATAAAAAAATTAAAAGATAATAAAATTTTAAAATTTAATTTTAAAAATTATTTCAAATAAAATAAATAGAAATAAAAAGAACGAGAACCAAATATGATTAATAAAAAAAATTCAATTAAAAAAATAAAATAAAAACAAATAGTAAAAAAAATAAAGAGTTAAGTTTATAAAAAGCAAATCTAATCACATTCAAAAATATAAAATTGAAAAAAATTAAAAAAAATGATTCAAAACAATATATATAGAAATTAAAAAATTTAAAGCTAAATTTATTTTTTTGCAACTTCAAAAAAAATATTCCATCTAAAATAAAAAAATACTTTTAAAAATCAAAATCAATTTTTTCTTTCACTAGAAAGTTTTTCCTATTAACCAACTTTTATAATAATAATAAAAAATCTAAAAAATAATTTCAAGAAATTATATTTCATGAAACAAATTTAGATTAGCGTCCCAACTTCGTTATTACCATACAGGATCACAGGGGAAGCTATTTATATAATATCCCTGAACCTATTCTTTCCAATGGAGCACTACTGGCAATCACAATTTCTTGACGCTACAAGCATGGATTATCAGACCTACCAAAACTATGCTCCCTATGATCAGATTTTCTCTTGCAATTCATCACTGAAAGACTTTTGTGACAAGATTTTAATGCCACCTTCAGCCCTTGATCGTCTGGCCATGCTTGGGATTTCTTACCCTATGTTATTCGAGTTGCGTGACCCTTTAACAGGTCATGTTTCGCATTGGGGAGTTTTAGAGTTTATGGCAGAGGAGGGTTTCATCTATTCACCACAATGGAAGATGGAGAAGTTGAAACTAAAGGAAGAAGGCTTCCCACTAGTAAAGAGTGTTGATCTTGTGAAGGGAACGTCCATAAAATTACAGCCACATGCCACTAGGTTTCTGGGACTCTCAAACTCTAAATCTGTTTTAGAAAGTACTCTCAGGAACTTTACTTGTTTAACTGTTGGTGAATAATGCACAACACCGAAAAAAAGAAAAATTACTTGTTAAAGCAAAGCCATCATATGCAATAAGCATTGTTGAAACAGACTGCGAGGTCAACTTCGCACCTCTGGATTATCAAGAACGTGAATTAGAAAGAATGGTTAAAAGAATACGCATTAAAGATGACAAATAACTGTCCCTTCCGCAACATCCAACAAAATTGAAATAACAGCCAGTAATGGTTAATTGATTCGGTGACCTCTCTATGAGTCTTCTTTGTTCATTATGAACGTTATTGATTAGTTTGAAAGGAAATTTAACTATTGCGTGGTTTTAATGTTATTGTGCTGTTTTTCATTCCTTAAAAACTAATCTCTTCAAGAAATCTGTCCTGTTAAGATGTTGTGCAGATGACAGTCGCAACAATATTAGAAAGCAAAAATATTTATCTTGACTAAATATAGAACCTCTCCTCTCAAACTCAAAGGATAGTCTTGAAATCAGCAGTTTGGGACTTCCGAGTGTTCCTAACCCAGACTAATCCTCTCCAGGATTTCCATACCAAGCCGATCATTCTCTTAACCCAGACTAACCCCGCGGGAGTTCCTTAGTCAGGAATTCTTGAAGATATTCTGTTTCCATGACGTTTAATTGCTTATTTCTTGATGGAACCTCATTTACAGTCTCCATTTACAATCTCCAGAACATTTGTAGTCTAAGAAATGATATGCCTAACCATGGGCGGTCTTTGTAAATACAGACTACAAACATTGAAGCTTTCGCCTCGGCAATAAAATATGTTGTGTCGCTAGTGCTGTGTGAATAGGTAATCCCTGAAATCTATTGATTATGTGCCTGTAAATTTCTAAGCACGGGAGGGAGTTCAGAAAAGACAAATCCCTGAAAAAGGGAAAATTATGAGAACAAAAAATTTCCCATAAGAGATTCTCCAAATCCACCGCTTAAAAATTAAGTTATACAAGAAAGCCTCCACAAATCAGATAGTTTCTCAACGATCGGTCACTAAATCAAGAAAACAGTGCTCAAAAATCACAAGAAAAAAAGGAAGATAAATAAGCTAAAATAAATCTCTTGATTAATGCAAAGGCCCAAAATCACTCCGATTGTTTCTTCAAAGGTCCTGAACACTCAAACCTACAAACAAATTTGTAGGAACCAAATAAGAAGTAATCACCTAAAATAAATTACAAAGACTACACAAATCAATCCTTTTCAAGGATACGATAAAATTATGTATAAGGGAAAAGGAGGTAAAGAAAGTGTTAAGTTCTTAATTTTATCTCAACTATCTTGAGCATCAAGCAAGAGATGTACTATAAAAAAACAAAATCATAATGATATCTAGTAATAATACATGCATAGATTCTAGATTACCTAGGAGCAAAAGGCATGAACAAGTCTAGAAGATGACATGTGCAAAACGCATGAGCACATGACAGGTCACAGCCATGAATAGCCACTGAACAAAACACAATGATGAAATAGTCCAATAGCACGACATATGAACAGCGATTGAAAACAGAAAGGTCGCCTGTACCTGGAGGAAGAGATTGTTTCAACTTGTCAGCCTTTTCAGGGTCAAACACGCATAGCGTGTAAAGATACTTGGAGCAACGAACCTTGAACTTCACCACATCTCTGCTTCTCTTGATTTTAACAGAACGAGCATCCTTCCTTCTTGCTGTGAGAAGAAAATCCTTGATCTCATGTATTTGCTTCGGCTGTTAATGACAAAGACTAAGAGCTATTAGGAATGTAAAAAACCAAATACACCAGACCACCAGTTATAAAGGAAACAAGCAAAGCATTTTTCCAGAAGAACAGAAACATGACGAGATCTTCAACAATCCCAAAAAAACAATTTTCCCAAAACTTATTCCACGACACAATGGAATGCAAACCAGTTTCCAATATAAGAGCACACTAACAATCAGCTTATGAATTGCAAAAAAGCATTTGATTGGTGTTCAATTCCTAAAACTCATTCTTCATAAAAAAAGAAGAAGAAGAAAACAACACATCTCGATCTAGCTCTAAATTAAAAGCATCTATCTGACCGGAAAGAACTGAAAAAGCGGCTTTTAAACATTAGGCTAACACCAAAGCTAATTCTAGCAGAACCAGAAAATCCAGACGCAGCAAGCCATCAAACACATTTGCTGGAATTGAAATACAATTGATTTCATTCTCCGCCAATTGCTAGAATTGAGAACAACTGGTTACAGCCATTCTAAGTCATCAAAGTTTAAGACTAATTCCAATAACCATCTAAAAGAATCCCTCCAACACTGTTTTTAAATTCCAGCACCTATCTATTACAGCATGATTACCACAAAACCAAAATACATCAAATCACTAACAATAGCGAAGCAAAAACACTGGTACTACATTGTAATCTGCTTGAATAAGGAAAAAATGTAAAGCCCAAACGGAAGCAGTTGATATCATACAAGACTTTCAAAACAACAAAACCCTAGACGCGCCTGCAAGGATGGTGGACACGGACTATTTTCCAGACTGTTCTTATTCTATGCAAATAAACAAACAGAAAGTAAAAACGAGGAGGAGCAAAGCAATCCGATAGGAGTAAAGATTACAAGAAATTACCATTTTAGCGTTTTATCTCCTCCTCCTTGAGTCGAGACGCCTTGAAGAGCAGGAGTTGATGGCGGTAATATATATCAAGGTGAAACGCCTCTAGAACCTAGTTTTATCTTCTTTATTTTTATCCATATATGCCCCCGCTTGTTTTTTTTTTTTTTTTTCCCATAGTGTCCATAATATTAGTGTTCCATTTCATGGGCCTGCATTCCAGTATTTGGTTCCTTTTCTCGTTGTCAGGAGGCCCATATAGATGCCTGTGTTGGGACGACGCCCTGGGAGTTAGCATTGCTATTTCTTTTTTTTAAAAAAAAAAAAACCGAATTGAAACTCCAAATTCTAAGTATCATACATGCACCAAAGTACCCATAACTGGCAAGAAATTCAGTAATTATTCCTGTCTTATTAACTAAAACTACACGGAGAGAATTTCTAAAAAATAGAGGCAAAAGTCATCTCAATTGAGAAAAATCCCAAACAGCTTTACAGGCCGCACTGTGGACGCAGGTAAGGCTTTGACATCGGTGCCATTGTCAATCTCACACGCAAGCGTGCCTTCAGTTAATCTCCTTGGAATTAAAACTCCATCAGGAAAACCAGTATTCCTGCTGGTGCTAGAATCTGTAGAATCTAAACCAGAATCTGTAGAAAACGAAGAATTGGTCGTTCTCGAATCAAGAACAATATTGCCCTTTGCCTTTTTATTGCCGGCTTCTGTCGACCCATCACCAGCATGGATTCTTTTTCCTTTCCCCTTCTTACTAATAACCTCCTGTTTTCTCGTAATTGCTTCATCCACCATCTTTGACTTCTCTTCCAATTCCTTCATGATCTCCATCAATTTTTCCTCGGGTAAGTTATTGAAACTCGGGTCCCAGGTTTCATCCTGTTTCACTACCTTGGACTTCGCATTGCCCGCCACTGATTCTGCTTGTAGTTTGTGTTTGTAAGAGAAGAGAATATCGACCACCTGTCCTCTATCTTGTGGCAAAGTTGAAACCCTGCCGTCAGTGTTGTTTTTAATAACAACACAAACAGGAACATCGCACAAAATTGCGAGCTCTGTTGCTTTCTTCTCCATCGTGGTTTGTCTCTTCTTGTAGGATTCCTCCTGCCCTTTGTTTCCGGTAACTGGTGTCATGGTGCCTGTGATGAACTTTGAAACTAAAGACGCTGCGTATAGACAAGAAATAAAAAAACAGAGAGAAGGGTTTGTTTATATGGAGATTTGGAGGATTTTTTTTCATTTTTTTCCTTGCCAGAATCGGATTTGGAACAAAAACCTCCTTTTGGTTTTATGAGACAAACGTTGGATTAAATAAAGGAAGGCGCGAATCGCACTGCAATGCAATCTAATCGCACAGTAACTTTTTAGTAAATTACTTGATCGTGCTTGATTTGTTTTTAGCGAGTTTTAAATGACCGAGCTATCTTTTCGTTTAAGTAAAAAAAAAATCATAAGAAAACAGCTTAAAAATTTATAACACACTCTAATTAATATCCGTTTTAGCCCTAAAATTAAAAACAAAATTTTGAAAGAATTTTTAAGTTTACTTAAGAATACAATGGATTCAGAAATATCAAGAAAATAACTTCAGATCTCAATCACAACTCTAATTCCAACTACACTCCATCAAACCCAATTTTCTCCTATACAAACACTTTCCACAATTTGCAATGATTCGCGTGCTCTGATTCAACTTGGCCCCATCATCAACAGCAACAACATGAGCAAGGACAGTAGCGTGGTTTCTCTGTGGTTGATTATGTTGGGTACGTGGCAAAATTCCCATATTAGCTAGAAGCGAGAATGATCATGGATATTTATAAATATGGACAAATAAAATTTTTTAGGTATAGTTCAAAAACAAATCTATGAAAACTTAGATCTAAAATAAACAATGTCAGTAATACGAAGATAAATGATGTCCATAATCCTTACAGATCACTGTCTCTGGATGAGCTAAATGGTGGCTGTTAAGCTCGTCGTGGAAGAAAGATAAAAAAGAAGTGCAGAATTCGGATTTCCTAGATTCTTTCCGTGGAAGAAGGAGAGCATGTGACGTGGCAACATTGTTGCAGTGTTATTGACCAAGTAAAAGGCTTGGTTACAAATCTTGGTTCGGAGATAGGAACACGGTTTTGGGAGATAAATTTGAATTTTAAAAAAAATCATTTTAAAAAATTAAAATAATATTATTTTTAATATAAAAATTTTAAAAATTTCACAAATTTTACTAGTCAAATAATACACGAGTTTACCATAAAGTTAACTATATTTGACTAAATTAATTCTCAACCTGCTTTAATATAAAACTTAGTTCAGAGAATTCTCAGTTAAAAAAAAGTCTCAAATTGATAAATTTCTAAATTAATAAGAGGATAAAAAGAATTGACAAGTCTTATTTGATCTATCACGTCAAGGTGAATTTATAACCTTATTCGAGTGGTGATTTAGTTTATAAAAAGTATTGTGGTATTGCGGTGGCTGTGGGTATGTTTGATATTGTGATTGTTGTTATGGTTGTGATTTAAAAAAAATAATTTTATAGAAAATATATTTAGTTGAGATTGGGTTGAAAAAATATATATTTGATTAAAACCGTGGTTGAAATTGAAATTGAACAAAAAATAGTTTAATGTATTTCGTTAAAAAAATGTTTTTCAAATTGAGGTTATAAAATAATATATATATATATATATGATTTTTAATTAAATATTGTAAATCTAACTACTGTTATTACATCATAAAATAAATAATATTGATATCAAATATTTTGTATTATTCCATTAAACTATATGTAATATTATTGTATGCGAAATCTATCCAATAAGGACTATATTTTCCATGGTTTCTTAAGTGCATAACAACAAAAACTGAATTTTTTGTTACATCATCAAGCGATCTCCTTCTAATTTTTCAAATAAAACATAATTAAAATAAAAAATTGAATTTTTTGAACTAGGTCGGACCCGATAAGAACATAATTGGAATTGCGATCAAATTACACAATGCTACATCATCATGTGATATCCTTCTAATTTATACAGTGTTATTAAATAATATTAAATACCAGTTTTTTGAGTAAAACTCAATTTAAAAAAAAAATACAATTTCACTACGTACAAAATTCATTCGACAAGAACTATAGTTTCCATGATTTTTTGAGCGTACAATAAAATTAGATAAAATATTATCATGAATAAAATTGAGAGTACAGTACGAGTAAATTTAATTCACCTTAAATTAATTTAAAAAAACAAAAAAAAAATTATTGTTGGCGTTCATGTGAACAATATGAGTGAAATCAATTAATTATACTGATTTTTTTTAATTTCCTTTTAGTAAACAGTGTGAGTGCATAAATTCACTTGCACTATTTACTAAAGTGAACAATTCACTGAACAGTGAAGCCACGCTCCACTGTTATGTTCCTCCCTCGCGATTGAGAAGCAGCAAAATGCTGCTTCTCAAAACCTGCAACACAACCTTTTATTTTAGTGGGTCCTATTATTACTTTTGATTTTTTTCTACGTTACCAAACGATATTATGTGTGGCTATGGGTGAGTTTCACTGGCAATCACATTACCAAACAGACACAAAAAAAATCAAGTCGTCATCATTTTAACAGCTACTTAGCCCTAATATAAATGTTATAAAATGGATTGACAAGCGATTGATGCATGAAAAAATTAAGAAGTGAAATAAAAAAATGGCTACACATTATAATGACCCAATTTAACTATTAAATTTACGATTTAAATAATAAACACAATCACAATGAATTAATCTAGTTGAAAAATTTGTGTATTTATTTTTCCTTTCCATGTTCGCTTCTTGATTGGGCTTTAATTAAGATTGAGTTAAATTGAATTTATAACTAGATTGAAGAGTTATAAAAATATTAAAGATGAAGTTTAAGAAATAAATAAATATTGGTTGATGAAATTAAAATAATACTGGCACAAAAGGTGGGGGAACAAGCAAAACTAACAAATCTCTTAAAACCCGAGTTAATTTTTTAAAATTGCAACTCATAAAGTCCTACACCGGGGTTCAACTAATAAACTAAATTCCCAATTAATTTAATGTTAGATGATAAAATTAAAAAAAATATTTTAATTTAAAAAATTTACTAAAAAAATAGCAATCAAAAGGACAAAAATCAAACTCAAATCCAACAAAAAATGAAATCAAATCAAATATTAAGGGGTAAAATTAAAATAAAATTAATTAAGAAAATCACTTAAAACAAAACAAATAAGAATTAAATCTATTAGGAAAAAAAAATAAAGGAGGATAAAATCATAAAGATGTAAATTTAAAAAACAATCTCAAATAAAACAAGCAACAATTAAAAGATTGAGAGATAAATTTAAATGATTAAAAAATCAAAAGAAAATAAAATTTAAAAAAAAATATTTTTATAAATTATTTTAAATAAAATAAATAACAATAAAAAAATATAAATCAAATAAAAAATATATTAAATAATGTTTTTAGAATTTTAAATGGTCAAATATTAAAATTAAAAAAAAAATCATCAACGTTAAATAGAAAATCAATAAGCTATAAGCGCCACTCAATAAAGAGGGGCTATCAAGATAATCTCGACCATATTGGTGACAACATGTTAGGCTGTCATAACACACCCTGTGTACCATCCAATAAATACATAGCAGTAGACGTGTTAGTAGTTTTTTATTTTTTAGATTTATTAAAATACCATATTGTCTTTTAAAATAATAAAGATAATAGAGTTTTTTTATCTAAAAAGTTAAAGTGACCATTAATGTAGTAATTATATTATATTTTATTTAGGAAGATAAAAATGTAATTATATTATTATGATGAATAATGATACCTGTCTATAAACACAATAAGTTCACCTTGCGTTCTAGCTTGTTTTTAATTAATATGAGAACTGAGAAACACCCACGGGGTGATTTATATATATAATTATATCCTTGACAGGCCAGTTTATCCTTTTCCTTTTCAACGACAAGATCCGGGCCTCTGGTCCTTTCATCGTAGTTAATCACGAGTTCGAGGCAACAGTAGATTACGACTTGATAACTGGGTGTCATTTTCTAGCGAGTCTAGTCACGAATCTGACTCGCAATGAATTCGTGTGAGAGACGGTAAAACAACAGCCGCTCCAATAACATTTATAGTAGGATTATTTTTATACTTTAAAAATATATTTTTAAATTTTTAATTTTTAAATTAATTTTTTTATTTCATAGTTGGTTACCTCGGGGAACTTTGGGATTAAAAAAAAAATCATTTACCTTCGACAACTATAGCTATAATTAGTCATTCAATCAATTATATATATACGAGACTGGGCGGGAAATATGATGTATTCGTGCTAATTTATTCTATGTCTTCAACCTCCCTTTCCTTTTATTTTTTTATAACCCGCAAGAAAACAAAAGTATTAATAAAAACTTCACAGCATGATATAAAATTTCCTCGACCAAATCTAAATCTAAAGCAGCCAGCAGTTTCATCTCTGAATCCAAGTTTAATCATGGCTCTGAATCTTAATTTAAAATAAAGAAAAAAATAAATAAAAAATTAATTATTTAAAAAAATAAAAATGTAGAAACGAATAAACTCTAACCTTTTTAATATAAAATGTAACATAAAGCTGTTATAAAAAATGTAAGTTGAAATACTGATCAAAAGTCATTGAACTTGAGAGGTAGAAAAAACGAGAATGATCTGTGCCATTGTCCTAGCAAGGAAATGGTGGTATGATATTGCTAGAGTGTTTGGAAATGTAAGTTAATTTATATTTTTTTTAAAATAATATTTGTTATATTGAAATTAATTTTTTTATGTTTTGAATCATTTTAATATATTGATATTAAAAATAATTTTATAAAATTAAAAAAATATTATTTTGATACATTTTAGCATGAAAAATACTTTAAAAAATAACCGCAACCATATTTTCAAGCAAATCAAATTCAAACAATTGTGACTGTGATTGCATTGCAAGTAAAAAAAAAATAAAAAGAAAACTCGTGGTGTTAAAACCTAATCTGGCTCGGCAGGTTAACCGAAACTAGCCTAACCTAAAAATAGAACCAGGTTGGGTTTATAAAAAAATTAGGGTAATTAAAAATCCGACTGATCTGGTAAAACCTAGTCAAAATACAGTTATAATCCATTAATTAATTTTTATTAAAATAATATTATTTTCATTTATAAAAAATTATTGACCTAAATGATCAAATCAAAACCTAATAATTCGATTAAAATTTATGATCTGGATATTAGCCGGGTTCACCATCAAACCATGTTTAAAAACACTGAGAAATTCTT